AAGAAGAGAAAGAAAGAAAGAAAATAATGAAGCATGAGAATGAGAAGATATAGAAGGAAAAAGAGAGGAATGAAAAAAGAAAATAAGACAAACAGAAAGACAAACAAACAAACAACAAAAAACAAACACACACAAAAAAAACTCACCCAACGTCTTCTGGTTATGCCACGTGTAGGTGAACCACAGCCTGACGCGCTCCTGCAGAAGGGGGGGAAGGTTGAGGCGGTGGAGGTAAGCCTGCGTTTGGTCCATCACTTTCCGGTACTCGTTCTGGTTCCGCGTCGCCGTTGCCACGATGTCCCGGATCTGGGGGGTGAAAGGGGGGGGGGGGTGAGTGAAAGAGAGAAAAGGGAGTGAGAGAAATGGAGAGAGAGGAAGTGAGAGGGGGAGAGAGAGAGAGAGAGAGAGAGAGAGAGAGAGAGAGAGAGAGAGAGAGAGAGAGAGAGAGAGAGAGAGAGGAGAGAGAGAGAGAGAGAGAGAGAGAGGGGGAGGGAGAGAGAGAGCGAGAGAAAGAGGAACAAAAGAAAGACAAAGAGAGAACGGAGAAAATCAATAAAAATTAAAAAATGATCATGCAAACAAGCCCCCCCCCCAAAAAAAAAAAAAAGAGAGAGAGAGATAACTGCCAACCTGCCACCTCACCTATCCTCAACATCAACTTCAAACCTCACAAACGAAACAAATAACAAGAACCCACCTCTACCCACCCCATCCCACCCAACCCACCTCCACCTCACCCCACCTCTACCCAACCCACCCACCCCACCTCCACCCCACCCAACCCACCCCGTCCATCCCAACCCACCCAACCTACCCCACCCCACCTCTACCCAACCAACCCAACCCAACCCCACCTCCACCCTACCCCACCCCAGCCCACCCCAGCCCACCTGACCCACCCCACCGCACCTCCACCTCCACCTCCACCTCCACCTCACCTGTCCAATGAGCAGAGCGAAGACGAACACCCCCATGAGCCAAGACGCCGTCATGAACATGTACTCCGCCTCGTTCTCCGGCTTCGGGTTCTTGCCGATGCTCGTAGCCGTCTTGGTGGCGAAGTAGAAGCAGCGGATGTACCTGCGGGGAAAGGGGGGGTGAGAAGGGGGGGTGAGAAGGGGGGGGGGTGAGAAGGGCGGGAGAGAATGGTGGCGAGGAAAGGGAGAGAGAAAGAGAGAGAGAGAGAGAGAGAGAGAGAGAGAGAGAGAGAGAGAGAGAGAGAGAGAGAGAGAGAGAGAGAGAGAGAGAAAGGAGTGGGGTGGGGAAGGAGGGAAGGAGGGAAGAAGAGGGAGGTGGGTGTTTCTTCTTCTCTCTCTCTCTCTCTCTCTCTGTCTCTCTCTCTCTCTTCCTTTGAATATATACATATATACACCTATATAAACACATAAATCCAACCAAACTCCTCCCATCCATCAATATTCCATCAACCTTTAAAAAAAACGGCCTCCAAACCGAGCTCACTCACGCATTGCCTTTGCCCTGAAAGACCCATCGGTTGGAGCCAATGCCCTCCACCTTGGAGAAGCCGTAATAAGCACAGGTGTTCAGGTGGATCAGGTAGAGCATGTTGAGCACCGTCCGAACCACTCGAACCGCGTGGGGAGACGACAGCACCGAGTCCAGGCGGTTGAAGAATTCCCAGAAAGTTTTGATCTGGAACGAAGGGAATCGGACGAGGGAGGTTAGCTTAACTGGGTGGTGGGGATATATGTATGTTTTTTTTTTTTCTTTTTCTTTTTTTTTTGTGGGGGGTATTTTTTGTTGTTGTTTTTGTTTTGGGGTATGGGTGTGTTTTTTTTCTTCTTCTTCATGGAATTATTTGTTTGTTTTGGGGTTAATTCTTGAATCAAATAAAAGCATTTTAATTGAGTTTATACACCAAAAGCTGTTCTCAACACGCGCACACATAACACGCAAATACACACAAATAAAAACAACATAAGACAAATATAGATATCAATTAGATATACAAATATACCAAGATAAAATCCTCATTCACCAACACGGACAATCATGGCCAAAAAATGGACAGATTATGGCCAAAAATGGACAGATTGTGGCCAAACTATGGGCAAATTCTGTACAAAACGGGACAAACTTTACCTTGATCAGTCGAGGCAGCCTGAATATGGACAGAGGGCCGAACTTGAAGTAGAGGAAGTCGAGAGGCAACAAGGCAATAAGATCGTACTGAGGAGAGAGAAAGAGAGAGAGAAAAAAATAATGAGTCAAATGAAGTGAATCAGACGTTTTTTTATTTATTTTCATTTTTTTTTTCGTGATGATTGAACGGTGATAACAACAGAAAATATTTTCAGTGTGTTTGATTAATGCGGCTTTTATACCATTTTATGAACTGGTAAGAAGATTCATAATAATCACAAGAAAGATAGTCATTGTACAATATTAATAGCAATAGTGATTGATATTTTTTTCTAATCATGTAATATTTATGTAACTGTGTAATGCGTAATAGTGCTTTTAATTATACTAATATGAT